CGGCCTCGACGGCAGCTGTCCGGGCCGGGTGGGGCATCTCGAAGGCGCGGGCAGGAAGAATTCCGAGGCGTTCGAAAGGCTGGTTCACTCTCACAGGGCCCTCACAGGGCGTTCAAGTTGGGTCCTCACCTCGGTATCGTTCAGCCGGTCCCCATCCCCATCCCCATCCCCATCCCCATCCCCTTCGAGACCCCCACCAAGTTACCACCCCGGTTGGGGATACACCCCTCGAAACCCTAAGGGAACGACCTATATCCATACCTAGGGGGGTACATTGGCCAGTGGGGCCCAGGCCACGCCGCTGGGGATGGGGGTCGGTTGAACGATACTCATCACCATTCTCCTGGGCGTGAGGCGCGGGAGTTATTCGGGGGCCGCCCTTGGGGTGGCTCCAAGAGGTGAGGGCCCTGCCAGGGCCGCGAAGGGCGCCTCTGCCCCGCGAGTGCTTCAGCGCACCAGTCTTTGCACGGTGGGCCTCTGCCACCGCTGCGGTCTCATCCAGGAACGCGCCCGTGCCCGTGGCAAGGCTGCCAAGATTCAGGCCGAGGGCGACTCCGATGATGAGATGGTTTACGGGGTGCATTGTCGTTGCCCCTAGGGCGGGGATGGAACCCGCCATGGGGGCCGACAACTTCCTCGTTGATGGGCCCCCCCTGCATTCTCTCTCTCTCTCTCTCTCTCTTTCTATTTTCCCCCACCGTGGGCGTCCGATTCTCCCTCCCGCCTTGGGCCTCCTCCTCCCTCTCCATCCCGCCTCCTCCCCTCCTCGCTCCTTCCCGCCTCCTCTCCTCGCTCCCCTCCCCCTCCCCCCCCCCCCCCTCGCCGTCCTGGTCGCTCCCTTGCTCCCTCCCGCCTTCTATCCTCCTCCTTCCCTCGCGCCTCCCCTCCTCGCTACTCCCCCGTCCCCCCTCCCCCCCCCCCACACACACACACCCTTCTTTCCGCACCCTTCTCTCCCCGACCTGCGCCGCGTCGGCTGCCCTGGTGCCTCAGAGCTCCTGGGGCGACGCCGACGACGAGGACGACGACGAGGACGGCGGGGACGACGAGGACGACGTCGTCGTCGGCTTCGTCCTTGTGGTCGCCGTCGTCGTGGTCGTCGTCCTCGTCGTCGTCGTCGTCGTCGCCGTCGTCGCAGGTCCCGTCCCTCGCGCCGTCTTCGGGGGTGTCCACGGGCCGATCTGCGGGGGCTCGGGGGCCAAACTTCAGCGCGGGGTGGCCCTCGGAGCCTCGCAGGGCACAACGAGCATGGAATGTCGGCCCTCGTGGACACGTTCCTCGCGGGGTCCGCTCGGGAGGTCCGCGCGGGCCTCCGCGAGAGCATGGTATATGCCCGTGTATCTCTGGTATCGCTCGGACGTGCGCATTCTTCTCGGCGCGCTCTGTCGAGGAGGATATGTGGATCTGTTTGGACAATGCTGCAGGAAGAAAGGCGAGGGCACACAACCGGGCAAAAAGCACGGGCAGTGGGCGTCCGCGCGACGGTAGTGTATGGTATGGTGCTGCTTGTCGTGTTCTTCGAGGAGCAGTCGTGAGGCTGGCCTGTCAGAGCGGGCGATGGCATCGTGTGCGCATTTACCCGCACAGTGTCCGTTTTCTGTGGACTCTGTCTCCTTCCTGCTCCTCCTTTTCCTCCTCCTCCTCCTCCTCCTCCTCCTGCTCCTCCTCTTCCTCGTCCTCCTCCTCCCCCTACCTGAATGATCGGTGCGTAGTTACACACCTGTCTACTCCTCTTCTCTTCCTGTTTCTTCATCCTCGTCTTGTGCTTCTTAGCTTGCACGTCCCGCAAACGTGGCGCACCGATTCCAGCACACACGTTGTAGGGTGACGTCTAGTCAGCCAGAGGCAATGAATGTAGTGACTCAATGTGTGCCGTCTCAGCGCCGCTTGTTTGATTCACCTCGGGCAGGCGGACCTTTGGCTGCCATGTTCGGGGTCATCCTGGGGGGGCAGGCCCTTGGGCCGCCGTGATGGTGCCATCTTGGGGCCCTCTTGTGGCGAAAAGGACCGCTGGTGAGACGTGGAGGAAGTTCGATATATACGTATATACACATATAAATAGTTATGTTTATATGTATCCCCATGGATGTATGTGTGTACATGTATATATATGCGTGTGTGTGTGTCGAGGGGTTGAGGCTCTGCTGCGGGGGGTAATCCGGGTGTCCGTCCAAGCGATGTGGAGTCATGTTTTTGGCTGCGAAGCGGCAGTTGGTCTTCTAAAGCCGCTTCGTGCTCTTTTGTGCGTGTCTTTTAAAGCCGCTTCGTGCTCTTTTGTGCGCGTGTCCGGTACGTCATGCACGCCGTCGGACCCAACTTCCAGCAGGTCGACGACCTCGCAGCGGGAAGGCCCTTCTCGAGTCAGCCTGCCGCGAGGCTCTTCGGTGTGCTTGCACGCAGGTCCTCAGACGAGTCGCCTTCTGCCTGATCTCGGCCAGAAAGTGCCGCGGCCCTTGCCTTCTCCACGAGGTGGCTCAGGCGGCGCTCGCAGCTGTTCTCCGATCCACCTGCGACGGCCTCGAGCGGACCTGCCACTGCACCCATGGCGACGCTGAGAGCGCGGTGTTGCCGGCGCTCCTACTGGCTGCGTGCGACCCCACTTCTTCCTAACAGGATGCCTAGATGCGGCACGCACCCTCCACGGCACCCCTTGCGCATGAGCCGGGCCTGCCCAAACCCTCTGGCTCGAGCGCACCACCGGCCAGTCCGCAGACCCACTGCTCCCCCTGGCCCCCCTGCGGCTGACGGCACAGCACCAGCCGGGCCTGCTTCCCCTCCTCCCTGCTACCACTATCACCGCTGCCCCTCCGACACAGTTGAGACGGGCAGCGCCACCCCGAAGGCGCAAGGCCGTCGGGGCCGACCTTTATAGGAGCTGACTTCGGGCACCGCCCAGGCCCTCCCCCTGCTGCTCGGCTACGCGGGTCCAGACGCGGCGGCTTCACCCCCGCGCGAAGCGCTGGCCCTGCCACGGGACGCGGGCGGCGCAACCTCCGCTCGTCTACGCCCTGGTGGCATCTCCCACCCAGGTCGCCAGGGCCAAGGCTCCAGCCGACCCCCCTTTCTGCGCAGCAGGTCCTCTGGGCTCCTCCCCTCCGCTGCCCAGGGGAACGAGCCGCCCCCGCCAATCCTCTGCCCGCCACATCTGCCCCAGTCCCAGACTAACCCCGATTAATTACACTACCCCTGGACCGGCTCGGCTGGCTCCGCCACAACGCCCAGGCGCCGTCCCGCATCGTAACTTCCCAGACGCACCGCCAATCTGGAGGGTGATTCCCTCCTCGTCACGGTCATCGTGCCGGTCTGCCAGTTCTTACATTATGTTGGACGCTGAGCCCGCGTCTGTGCCGGGCGTTGCTCCGTACTGTTTTTCCCTGTTGCTTCGGCGCGGCCCGCCCTAGCGTTGCCCGACTTTCGACCCGCTTCGCGAGCCCGCGTACCAAAACAAATCTGGAGGGCCAGACGCTCCCCCCCGGCAGCGGGCTAGCCCCCCCCACCCGCAAGTCCACCTGTTGCACCCCTCGCACTGCCCTCGATTGACAGCCGACCACGCGATGCTCGCCAAATGGACCCTCGCGCTCGACAGGCAGGACGGGTCGAGCCCCGCGCACGTTCCCAGCGTAGGATGCCTGGGCCCAAGGGGTGGACCACATACGACATCCTTGGTGGCGCCATCCATAACTGGACGCAGCACGGTGAGGCATCCCAGGCTGTGCGACCAATGTTTCTGGCACCTGCGAGTCGCAGATGCAGGCGCTTGCTAGGTCTGGCGTCGACCCTGAGGAGTTTATCATCCGCAAGGCGTGGTATTCCAGGCTGTTCGACTGCGCCTTCTTGCTCTCCTGCAACTTCCGAACGGCCGTGTGTTCAAAACAAGTTCGTGTATGTATGTACGTGCGTGCACGTGTGAGTCGCGCGTAGTTTTACGTCGCGCAGCCGCGCACGTGGCCTCGACGCCCAACAGTGCGTGTGCGTGAGTGTGTGTGTGTGTGTATGTGTGTGTGAGTGTGTGTGTGTGTGTGTGTCTGTCTGTGTCTGTGTGTGTGTGTCTGTGTGTGTCTGTGTCTGTGCGTGTGTGCGTGTGTATGTGCGAGTGTCGCTCTCTCCGTGCCTTCTACGCCCGGATGCTCTCCGTATTTCATGCTGCCGCGTGGATATCGCCCACGGTATTGCGTGTACCCTCCCCGCTATCCACGCCTAGATGTTTGGTAGGTCCGCATCTTAATTGACGTTTGAGGGCCAGGCCGCCTCGCGCATTGTTTGTAAGTTTTCTCCGCTTCGTCGCTGCGCGCGAGGCCGCCACCGCCCAACAAGCGTGTGTGTGTGTGTGTGTGTGTGTGTGTTTGTGTGTGGCTGTGTGGTTGTGTGGTTAAGTGTATGTTGTATGTGCGCGCGGGGGCGGGGGCATGGTTTTGTTAGGAGTTGAGAGTTGTGCAGTGCACCGCAGTGACCTTGATTCGGGCCTGCTGTAGCCAGCGCGGTGATGGACACGCTCATGTCCAGCGAGGTCAGTAAGGAGTGAGACTCAGCCTTTGTCATCCAGGTCGCCGAGCCTGTCCTGCGGCAGCAGGCACGTCAGGGAAGACCATGCTGCTGGACTTCGGAAGGAGTTGCGCTACTGCGAATCCTTGTGTACATGCGTGGCGCTTGTGTGAGTTAGGCTTGGATTCTTGCTTCTCCTAGAAGCGTTACAAGCGGGGCACTTTTCCTTGTGAGCACGACGTAGCAGGTGATTGGTGTTTTTTCCACCAGAACCACCATAAGTTGGAGGGGAGGGGTCATCGTCCTTCTCCTCCTCCTCCTCCTCGACCACCTCCTGTTCCTCCTCTTCGTCCTCCTCCTCTTCGTCCTCCACCTCTTCCCCCCTTCAACCTATGGTGGTGGTGGTGGTGGAAAATAAGCCCATCAGCATGGCCCGAAGGTGCTCGCAGCCCCGAGTGATCACTCGAGGGCTGCGAGCACCCTCCCTCGCGGGCAAGCGCGCAGCGGCCCGCCCTCAGCGCGCGGGTTCCCGTGGGCGGCTTCCGGGAGCTGGTGGGCTTCAACGGCGCGAAGCACCCCTTCACGCTGGCGAGGCGCCCGGGCGGTCCCTCCTTTCGGCGTCACCTCACCAGACTTATACTATATGCGCGACCCCCCCCAGGGGCGACGCGCGCCCCAATAGATCTTATAGTATATGCGTCGTGGCGGGCGCTTTCTGCCACACCGCTCGGGAAACGATGTACTACAAGATGGGTATACCAATATGTCCCTGTGCGTCCCATCCTTCCCTCACCTCACCCGCCACGTTCGAGCAGAAGAAACAGCTGCATGGACATCGGCCGTCAGAGGTCCGCGCGGATGTCTTGGATCTGCGTCGGGCCCCCCCCTTGCCAAGCGCGCGGAGCGCGCCGGGGGGCGGCGCCGCACAGGGGAGCCGGCGTCGATCCAATAAAGCCGCCAGACCTAAGACATATCATGTTCGTACAGGTGTCTCTCTCAAGCAGTGGCGAAGCGTCTTGGCTCGCCTATAGGACTACCAAGGATGTTCTAAGAACCTTTTGTGGTCTGCACGAAATATTATTAGAACATGTCTGGCTGGGACTGTCTGGATTCTATATATCGGGTTTATGATATAAGAACATTGTTTTGCTTTTTCAGACATTTTGGGGTTCTAAGAACTTGTCGTGGTAGGCCTATAAGAATGCCCGGACGGTCGGTCCCTGCTCATCTTCTGCCATTTGCTTTCGTCGGCATCATGAATCATTCTGGCATGGTCGAAGCCGAGCGTGCCAGCAATTGCCATGGCCTGGCGCGGGGGTCGAGCGAGGCTGTTGGCGGCTGTGGGCTCTGCTGCTGGCAGCGTTGCTCCGACGATCCACGGAGACTGCTGATGGTCATGATCCGAAGTCGTCACCATGACGGACTTCGTGGTCGCGGCGATCTTGCCGGACGACGCGGTCGCGTGGGGCAACCCCGACAGCAGTGGCGACGTCGGCCATTCGGCAGGCGAGTTCATGTCCGATGTGGGGGGTGCTAACGCTCGTAATGTTGGAAACGATCTCTGTGTTGAGTGAGTTTTGCGATGTGGTGGTGTGAGGAAACCTGGCAACGGGCGCCTGCATGACGGAGAATTGCGATAAGGAAGGACGAGAAAGTCAAGCAGCAGCAACGGGAGCGAGGGGAAATGATGAGTAGTAGCAGCATCAGCGACAGGACGAGGGGGATCACAATGAGCATAATCAGGATGGAATGACAGGGGAGGACACAATATAACGACGGTAACCAATAATCCAGTTGCTTGCGGCAAGTCCCGCCACCTTGCCATCCCAGCATTCTGGGTGGCGACCGTTCGAGGGTGCACGGGAGTTAGCTTTAGCCGTGGTGATGATGATGTTGATGACGATGATGGTGCTGAATGGGGGTGGTGATGGTGGTGGTGGTGATGATGATGACGGCGATGATGATGTTGGTGATGATGATGGTGATGACGGTAACGATGGTGATGATTATGATAGCGGTGATGTTGAAGATGATGTTGATGCCGATGAGGATGATAATGAGGATGACGATAAGGACGGACGATGAAGACGAGGATGGTGAAGTTGTTTGTTTGAGATGAGGGTGATGTTGCTGAGTGAGATCATGCTGCTGAGGATGCGGATCAGGATGCTGATTGGAAGTATGGTGTTGGTAATGCCGGCGATTATGAAGATGCCTGCGATCGTGATGATGATGGTGATGATGATGGTAAATATGATGATGAGTGTCATGATGCGGATGCTGATACTGATGGTGACGGTGCTGCTGATGATGATGATGATGATGATGATGATGATGATGATAGTGTTCATGATGCTAATGATGAGGACGGCGATGCTGACATGTACAATAGTGATGATGATGCTCATGATGGTGGCGATGATGATGATGCTGATGATGGTGGTGATGATGACGATGATGGTGCTGATGGTGACGACGATGATGGCGATATTGGCGATGCTGATGCTGATGATGGAGATGATGCGTCGTATGATGATGACGATACTGGTGGTGATGGTAATGGTGATACTGATGATGGAGTTGCCGATGATGCTGATGAAGTTGGCGATGATGTTGGTAATCATGATGCTTATGATGACGATGATGATGATGACGGTTTTGCGAGTGTTGGCGATGATGCGTATGATGATGTTGATGATGATGGGTAGTATGATGGTGCTGATGCGGATGATGTTGATGATGGTGAGTATGATTATGCTGTTGCTGATGATGATGGCGGTGATGCTGATGATAATGTTGATGGCAATGAGGAGGATGAGGGTGAGGGGCAGGAGGAGGAGGATGAGGAGGAGGAGGGGCAGGATGAGGAGGACAAGGACGGCCGTCACGTGTGACATCTTTCGGCTCCACTGTTGGGTGGGTCTCATGGAATTCGTTTGGGCCGTCGTGGGGTTGTCTTGGCCTCCTGTGGGGCAGTCTTCGGGGTCCCGTAGAGCCCTCTGGGGCCGTCCTTGGGCAGTATGACGCCGTGTTGGGGCTATCGTGGGCTGTCTTGGGGCCCTCTCGTGGGCTCTTGGGGCCCGTTCGGTCCATCTTGGGGCCCTCTTGCGAGTCTCTTTGGCCGTCCGTGGACAATCGTGGAGGCTTCCTGGGCCGTCTTGAGCTGACGGAAGCCCGACAAGGAGCTGACGGAAGCCCGACAAGGCGAGATTGCGACTCTTATTCAACAGCCAGCGGAAGTTCATTGTGTGTGGTTTCTCTTAACCTTGTTGGAGGTCCGCTTCTCCCTCGTTGGAGTCCTCTTGGAGGCACGCTGGGTCGTCTTGGAGCGAGATTGGACCGCCTTGGGGCCAGATTGGGCCGTCCTCGAGGTATCTTGGGTCATAGTGGTGTCCTTGGCTGCCTGCCTGGACCATCTCGGAAGCTCGGGACGCGGGAGCGTTGTTTTTTTTTCAGGGGTTCGTGGCGTCGGGAACGTGGACCCATAGTCTTTTGGGAGGGATCGTTGCTTCGGGAGTGGGGGCGCTGCATGCGACGAGACGCCAGTCCCGGGGGGGGGGGCTGTTAAACTATCGAAACCCTACCAGGTAAACCTTGGCATTCGTCCACCCCTCAGCGTGCACAAGGCACGGTGGCGGATGTGTGTGGGATGGCCATGGTGGTGGTCAGGAGGTGAGGTGCAGAAAGGTGAGGGGAAGCATGACCAGCAGCAGCAGCAGCACCAGGATGAGGGTGATACGCGGGAACGGCAGCGGGATGAGCACGATGCGGATATGGAGGAAGGTGTGGGGGAGGAGTACCACAAGGAGATAGAACACGAGGGTAGAGAGGATGAAGAGGAGGAAACGACGCAGGGGCATAGCATCAAGAAGGCCACCCTTCTCGCCCATCCATCTTTGTTTCGAATAGAAGGGCGGGCCATGGTTGAGGGGAACGAGGAGTCTTCCCTCCTTGGCAGCTTGCCCTCCCTCCCCCGCTCACCCCTCCCCGTCCTCTTCTCGGACCCCCCCTCATCCTGACTCGCCAGCCTACTCCCCTCCTTCCGCTATAATCCTTCCCACTGTTTCTCATGCTCCTTCCCTCCTCCTCTTCATCCCCAGTCATACTTCCACCCCCCCTTCTCGCCATGTAAGTGTCCCTTGTTGTGTCCCACCCTTCCTTGCGCTTCATTCTCATCGCTCCCACATCCATTTCACTCTTTCATTCCTCCCTCCTCACTCTTCCTTCTTCGACTCTTCCTGCTTCTACGGGTTCATCCTTCCCCCCCCCCACACACGCCCCTCATACCTCTTTGTCACGTCGTCCTCATAGCCCGTCTCTGCTTCAATAGGTTCGGTAGATAGGTATACTGGTCGCGATATACAAGGACTTGGTGCCCATTGGCACATAGTGTCGTTCCGCTTCGTGTTGGGTGTGTCAAACGGTCATCTGTAAGAGTTGGGATACCAGCCGTGCCACTGGCATGAGCAAATGCATGCGTGATACGCGGGTATCAATGTCTACGACGTTGAAATCGCGCCCGTGAGTTCCCGAGTCTGTTATGTTCGGCGGACCGATTCGAGTCCGACCAGGTGGGCCTCCCCGAGTTGTTCATTTGTTCGATGATGTGTCTCTGCCAGGAGGTGTGGATCACCATGACTCGGCGTGCATCAAGCTGGCTGCCGGCGAACCCGCGGCATCAGACATTGATGCCATGTTAATGGCGTTGCCCCTCGCTCACACATCGGCGTGTTACCCTGCCACTCGGGATACACGACATGATCCTGCCACGCCCCTATCATGGCGCACATCGCCTCGGCACTTCTGTCGACGACGTTGGTATAGTATGGAAGCACACGCTCTATAGAATGGTGAGCGTATTGGCCCCGACAGTATTCACGCTGCTTGTGACGCCGTCTTGCGCACATATTCTTAGCGAGTGGAGCCAAGCGCTGATCAGGAGTGGAACAGCATCAGTCCTTTCGTTCTGCCTAACAGTTTCCGCCAGCCAATCTCCTCTCTCCTCCGTCCTCCTCTCCCCCCCTTGGTCCTCATCTCTGCCGCCAGGCATCCAATGTTTCGGTTTTGCCCCAATGCATATGGATATGTGTTTACAAATATACATATAACGGCGCACCGGGTCCGGGGGCCCGGGGCCGCGACCACGACCACAAATGTGTGTGCCCAGGCTCTTGGGGCGTACCTGAGGCCCTCAACACGCTTCAGGAACGCGCCAAGAGAACCCGAAGACGCCCCAAGACGGACCCAAGACACCCAAAGGCCGCTCCAAGATGCCCAAGATGGCCCCCAAGACACCTCCAAAGGCCTCGCAGCGAACATTTCCAGCCCTGGGCTCCCGGAAGCCCAACAGGAAGCCCTAAGAGTTCGACCATCCAGCCTAGCTAGAACTTGAGCGCGCGCGAAGCGCGCGCGATGATCCTAGTACATATATATATATATGTATATCTGTATACTAAAAGTCCTCCAGGGTTCTCAAGGCAATGTCGAAGGGCTCCAAGAGCACCCCAAGAGAAGCCCCAATACGATGTGTCACTGCATGCCGTACTTGGGCCTCTCTTGGGCCCTGTTTGGAGCCCTCCTCGGGTCATCTTAGGGCTCGCAGCAAGCCGACATCGAGGAGAAGCGCCCGCAGTTGAAGTGATCATACCGTCGAAGCTCTGGACCCTGCCCCCTCGCGGACCACCGCCCGCCCTGCCCCTCGCGAACCAGGGGCAGCCACCTGTCGCCGGAGAGCCTGCCGATGGCCCGGGCGCCCAGCGGCGATGATCCTGCAGGGGGGATGCTTCGGCGGACGAGGGGGAGGGTGATCGGGGAGGAGGAAGGGGGGATCGGGGAAGAAGGAGGATGAGGAGCATGATCATGACAATCCCACCTGAGTCGCCTTCGTCGCTTCTGGGGCGACGCGGGGAAAAGAAGGGAGACGACGACGAGCTGAAGCCCTCACATGCTGCTTGTATCCTTCGTGCGTGGCGACAGCCAGCAGATGAAGACCGCATCCTCGCAGGGGGAGCTAATCCCACGTGCATTGTGAAGGAAGCCATTGCAATACCGCCCGTGCCTGTACAACTGGTTGGGAACACTTTCCATTTCATATTTCGAACAGGATAACCGAAGATGCACGGCGGCGGCTCGCAGAGCCGAGCTTTCATTAATGGTAACCACCACCACGCAATAGCATGTGAAATAATGGCCACGGGTATGGAAGTTGCAGAGTAGTCCAATAGCCGCCGAACGCCAGAGCTTTCACGATAGTGACCACCATCAGACAGCCACATGTGAAGGTACCAAGGTCATTGTTCACAAGCGCGAGCGAGCTCCGCGGCGGAACGCAAGAGCCGCGAGGGGGAGGGGAGGAGGGCGAGGGGGGGAGGGGAGGGAGGGGTGAAACATAGGCAGCCCTGGCCCCGCGCTGCTCCGCGTTATCCTGGTCCCGCGGCGTTGGCCGCGCCGCCAGCCGCCAGCCGCTAGCCGCCTGCGCAGCGCCGCGCACCACCTCGGCTCGCTGCTCCCGGCCCGCACCGCCGGCACCGGGAGGAGCGCCGCCGCGCGGGGCGGCAGCGTGCTGGTCCACCCTGGGCAGGACGGGGCAGCCAGCGCGTGCCAGTGCGGGGCTGCGCTGCCGCAGCAGGGGCGCGCGAGCCAACTGGGGCCCTGCGACGCCGCGTGCGACGCCCGCGCGCCGCCCCCGAAGAGGGCGCGGGCGGCCTCTGCAGGTTCGCGCTGCGTGAGGCCCTGGCAGGCCGTCCACGGTCGCTGTGCGCGCCGCCGGGGGACGGTCGCCGTGGGCGCGCCGCCAGGGGTTGCTGCGGCTGCGGGTCCGCCGCCGGCGCCCGCTGTTGCTGCGCCCGCTGCCCGTTGGGTTGCGCTGTCCGCGCCAGCCGCGGAAACCCCAGTCCAGCTCCTGTGCACCCTGGGCCCTGCCGGCCCAGAGCTCTCGTGGTTGGCCCGCAGCGCGGCCAGCTCCACGGCCGCCAGCAACTGCTGGGGAGCGCGCAGCGCATGCAGCTGCACCTGCTGCCCGATGCAGAGCGCATACTCGGGCAAACAGGGGCGCGCGGTGGCGCCCGCCAGCCTGTCCGCGGTCTCGTTGCCGTTGCCAGCGTGGTCTTCCGACGCGATGCCGCGGCCCGCCGCCGCGTCGGCGTCGAGGTGCCCCTTGACCTTTCGGGCCGTGATGAAGCCGCTCTGGCAGTGCGGCCTCAGCAGCTCCCACAGGTCCGCGTGCGTCCACTCGGGGGGCAGCGCGCTGGCGTGCAATGCCGCAAACCCGTGGCACACAGGGCGAGTCAGACACCAGCTCCACGGGTGCCTCGGCCGCACTGATCGCGCGCTATGCTGCTGAAAGTTCCGCCCGTTACGCGGTCTGGGACCCGTCCGCCAGCCCGTTGCGGCACCACAGCAATCGTTCGGGCCCTCTCCAGCATAGACCCCACCCTGCCAGGGCCCAGAGAGGGTCACTCCCAGCCAGCACGTTGAAGAACGCCCAGACGGCCCGCAGGAGGGTTTGATTTGGCTCGGAGCCCGCGTTTGATTTGGCTCGGAGCCCGCGGAACCTCCCACGATCTGCAGCCGCTTGGGACTGACCTTGACAAAGATGACCGCGAAGGGCGAAGGGAATGACAACAAAAGGCGCGGTAGGCATACCACCTTGCGAACGGCCGACCATGCAAGACGCGCCGACCAGCCACGATGTCTCTCGACCAACGCGTGGAGGTGCACAAGGCACGACGCCAAGGACACGCCAAGTTAAGAAGGGGGAGAGGGTATGCGAATAAGGCTGATTGCAAGCCCTCCTGGCTTCTGAGATGTCCTTGGGTCATGATGTTCCAACCTACCTTAGCCTTGACTGCCAGAATTTCGAGCATCAAAAAAGCTCCGACACTTGAGGGTTTTCACGTGCCGGGCCCTGGGAGGCGATACTCGTTCGACACTGTTTCGATACAAGGTATCTCCTAACAGCGAATTCAAAGTTTAAACAGTGAATTAACACTACGCTGTTGACACTACGTATCGCAGGTGAATTAACACTACGCTGTTCACACTACGTTGTTCGCATCGCCGGGATCAGCCACATCGGCGCAGCGTCAACGGCGTAGTGTCAACAGCGTAGTGTCAACAGTCTAATGTCAAGTAACAGCGTAATCTAAAGCAACGTAGCCTCCACCAACAGCGTACTGTCAAGCAACAGTGCACCGCGTGAGTAGCAATGTCAACAATCAACAGCGTACTGTCAACAGCGCAGTGTCAACAGCGTAGTGTCAACAGCGTAGTGTCAACCAAATGCGTAACCTCGAGCAACGTAGCTTGAACCAACAACGTACTGTCAAGCAACAGTGCACCGTGTGAGTAGTATTGTCAACAATCAACCGCGTAGTATCGTCAGCAATCAACAGCGTACTGTCGACAGCGCAGTGTCAGCAGCGCAGCGTCAAAAGCGTAGTGTCAACAGCGTAGTGTCAAGTAACAGCATTACCTCAAGCAACGCTCCCTGAAACAAAAGCGCACTGTCATGCAGCAGTGCACCGCGTGAATAGTATTGTCAACAACCAAGAGTGGACTGTCAACCGCGCAGTGCCAACAGCGTAGCGTCAACAGCGTAGTGTCAACAGCGTAGTGTCAACTAACAGCGTAACCTCAAAGAACGCAGCCTGAACCAACAGCGCACTTTCAAGCAACAGTGCACCGCGTGAGTAGCATTGGCACCAATCAAAAACGCACCGTCAATGGAGCAATATCAACAACGTAGTGCTACAAGCGTAGTGTCAACAGTATAGTGTCAACCAACAGCGTAACCTTAAGCAACACAGCCTGAACCAACAGCGTACTGTCAAGCAATTTTGCACCGTGCGAGTAGCAGTGTCTACAATCCACAGCGTACTCTCAGCAGCGCAGTGTCGACAACGCGACCAGCAACGACGCGGCTTAAATTCGATGGTTCTGACGAAACTCGTTCTGGACAGATCTTGGCGCGACAGGCCTTTCATTAAGTGTCTCCATAAAAGTCGTCTCTCGTAAAAGTCGCCTCTCGTAAACGAACTGTCATGGCAAGAATTCTCACATCTGACCCCGTCTCCCATTCAAACAATCTAGCATTGTTTAATTCTCATGGAAAGCATTCTTCATGAAATATTGTCTCTCGTAACACATCGTTTCTCATCTTAAAACCGTCTTTGTTTAGATCCGTAAGCCATTTTCTGTCTTGAGAAGGGGTCTCTGGTAAGAAGTCGTCTCCCATTAGTGTTCCTTCAAATAGGAGTCGTCTCTCATGAGAAACCGTCTCTCATGAGAAGCCGTCTCCGATGAGAAACCTCTCACGAGAAGTGTATATGAAAACGTGTCTGAATTAAAACAGTATATAGTTCGGAAACCATGATACATCATCTGTCATGAACAATCGCTTCTCATGAGAAGTCCAGAGATAATGTTTTCTTTGTTTTGAAACAATAACTCCAGTGTTAATCGTGCAGCTCTGTGGTTCTTCATGCCAGGGAATAAGTTCGGAATAACGAACTGTCGAGGACGTGCGGTCACCGGATTCTCGTGAGAGACGTTCCTCATCAGAAACGGCTTCTCATGAGAGACGGTTTCTCATGACGCGGATTCAAGCAGAGACGGTTTCAAGATGAGAAACGATTTGTTATCCGTATGGGCTTCGCCCCCTGCCGCCGGCTCCCTCTCTCGGAGAATGGGCCATCAAACGAAGTCATGAGGCTTTGGCTTTTCCGTGAAGCAGTGTCGGGACTTATTTGTTTTTCGACCCTGACCCTGCCGATCTGCGTGAGGGGTGCCGCCGAGTTTCAGACATGTGGCAACTCCTTTTTGTTTTTGGACCCTGACCCGACGGATCTGCGTGAGGGGTGCCACTGAATTCCAAACATGTTTCAAATCCCATGTGTTTTTGGACCCTGACCCCGCCGATCTGCGTTAGGGGTGCCCTTGAATTTCAGAGATGTGACAAATCCTTGGAGCGCCTTGTCGGGCCGCCCGCTCGCGCCGGCTCGCACGGAATGCTTGTCGGGCCGCTCTGGAAGCGCCCCCGCTCGTGCAGGTCCCCACGGAATGCTCGTCGGGCCGCTCTGGGGGCGCTCCGGCTCGCAGGCCGAGCGCTTGGAAGCGCTTGGGCGCGCCTGGGAGCGCCTGGGCTTGGATTTTGGGCCTGCCGAGGCCGCGCTCGAGTCTGGCAAATCTGGCAGATTCTGGCCGACCCGGCAACATGTCAGTGGCTCCACAAAATCAGCTCCCAATGCATTTTTTTATTAAGATTTGATATGGTTTTGGGTTCCGGGACGTCTCGGCCCAATTTCGAGCGGCCCGCTCGTGCCACCTCGCACGGAGTGATCGTCGAGCCGCTCCGGGGGCGCTCCGGCTCGCGCGGAGCGCTTGGGCGCGCTTGGGAGCGCGCGGGGGCGCTTGGGCTTGGATGTCGGGCCTGCCGACGCCGCGCTCGATTTGAGCAAATCTGGCAGATTCTGGTCGGCCCGGCAAAATGTCAGTGGCTCTCCACAAAAACGGTCTCCCAAGATACATTTTCTTTATGATTTGATCTGGTTTTGGGCTCCGGTACGTCCCCCGCCCAATTTCGGGCGGCCCGCTCGTGCCAGCTCGCACGGAGTGTTCGTCGAGCCGCTCTGGGGGCGCTCCGGCTCGCACGGAGCGCTCGGGCGCGCTTGGGGGCGCGCGGGGGTGCCTGGGCTTGGATGTCGGGCCTGCCGACGCCGCGCTCGACTCGGGCAAATCTGGCAA